AGAAGAATTTGATAGTGATATCTAATCTGGCATAGGACCGGTAAAAATCTTCTCACAGGGATAATATGAAATTTTTTTCTCAAGCGCTTTCAGTTACTAAAAATGAATACTTTTTCCAATGTACGAACACAAAAATGGTCCGAAAAAAAAATCTTCTGTTGAAAAAATATCTTTATAAAGCCTTGAAAGATTTGTCGAGGTCTTATCAAGCGCTTCAAGAAAAAAGCTTGAATAGACTTCGTGAAATTTACTCGAATCTTTAATTAAACTTCTAGATCAAGTTTCTGCCAATTTTTGCTTCAAAACAAGACTGCGGCAAATTCTGGCGAGATCTTCAATGGTTTTATTTTTTGCAGATTAACTGCTGCTTTTTTTGTTTTGTGTTCAAATTATTTTACTGTATTGTTACGCGTTCATGTTGTGTATGCAGCCCTACGTTGCCCGTAGGGATCCCGAAACTCTTTTGTTCAAAACTCAAAATCTAAGATCTTGATCAAGATTTTTCGGCAATACGTGGTGAAAAAATGAAATCGAATTTCGCCAAGATGTCTGAGTTCTTGCTATTCTATGGTATGTGACCAAATGGAAAAGATAGACTGATTTTGTGTACTTCTTTGTTTTTTAGCAACGCAAACCATTGGCTGAAAGTTTTGAATTTACAAAAAAATCAAAGGATATAGTGAATATCTCGGTAGTTTTGACTGTTCAGAAAATATAAATAAAAATAAAAATAGAAAATGAAATCTCCTTCTGCCATTGTTTGAAAGTGCACGAAATAAGTGCATGTTTTCCATTTCAGTGATGGAAACGCGCTTTTTCAAAGGACATCAATGACTCCCACAGAGCAGAAGTTTACTTGCTGACTTGTTTTACTTCAAATTAGCTTGAAACTAGGCTTTTGAATCAGTTACGCATTTTATTTACTCATGAATATTCGTTTCTTAGTTCTCAACATTATGAAGGGAAGTAGTTCCTTATAAATGCAAACAGTATCAGTAATAATCATGCAACTAAACATGCATTTTGTTAACATAACAGTTTTCATGTACATCTTCACATGCTGCTGGATGATTCATGTTTGCACCAAGAGAGTAATTATAAAAGTCCAATCTTAGGACTATACTTTGCCGCCGTTTGCAATATCAATTTACGTTCACACGCAATGTGAAGTATTTAAGATTGATTTTACAGTTTTTCCAACCAGTTTACGTAAATAAGCGACTTGTAAATGTTGAGGAGACTAAAGTGCATTTAGTAGTTTTATACCTGCAATGGAATTAAAACTACACCATAAAATTTTGCTAAATCACTAAAGAAATGTTGATTTTAAAACGCTTTCTTCCTCTGTTCAAATAAAATTTGGATTTTTTTTCCGATTCATTTGTGTAACTTGTTTCAAAACAATAGCTGAATAATATTTGTGGAATCGAATTTGCAAGCATCTTTTTATTTATGTTCATGCTAATGTGAATGTTTAAGATATAGTTTTTTTTCATGCACGTACAAGAACAAAGCATTTTAATATTGAATATAGATATATATTGAATATAATTATTGAATTCATGCTTCAATTTTTACCTCGTCAGCCATTTTTATTCTGTTATTTAATAGTTAGTATACTTGTTGTGTATGTATCTTTCTTCTTAGCAACACAAACAACCAAGGCTTTTGACGTCGAATGAGTGTGTGTGTGCGTGTGTGTGTGTGTGTATGTATAAAACGGTTATTATTGTTATTTCTACAAAAAAAAAAGAAAAAATAGTGCTATTCTAGAAAAAAATACAGGAAATGGATTTGCTCCTACAAATATGTACAAAATCAACACACGTCGATCAGTGTGTAATATAATACTATAGAAAGAGAGAGAGAGAAAGAAAGAAGACGCTGTTTAGGAAAAAAATAAGAAAAAACATAGAAGTTAGTTCCATTTATTGTGGATAGTCTAACTTATTTTCTTTACCATAAGAAAATGGGAATATAAACGCCTCCAATGCGGCTAAATGCCTGTTCATTTTTTCCAACCGAAGAAAGAACAGTAAACGACAAATTATTCTGTTATATGAAACATACAGACAATGACAGCCTGTTTGATAATTTAATGAATCAAAATAGATTACGCTGCTCTTACACAATTCTGAGATCTACATTAATAACTTGAACAAGATTAAAAATATTTAAGGGCAATATTTAGAAAGACGATCTAATTTTTCTCTCACATTCATTCTTATCCTCTTTACTTCGAAGTACATTTTTTATGTAACACCATTAGTTTAGAAATATCTTTACAAATCCAAGAATCTTTCTATGTATCATTGAACAAAAGAGAAGATAGACTCAGAATGTGTACAGTCATTTATTTCCATTTCTATTCCCTATGTATATACATACAAACGAAAAAGTTAAACCATATTTTTCTTCTATATTGAGTAAATAACTGCGACAGACTTAAATAATAAAATGAACTGATTAATGTTAATTTTTGTACAGAAATGTGCACCATTTTTCAGTAGATTACAAATACATATCACCGACAAAAAATTAAAGTTCATTTAGAGTTAAAGAAAAGTGCTTTTTCGTATTCAGCACACTTGATAACCTGGAAAATTTTCTATTTTTAGCGAAGGGTACCGCCAAAAAAGTTAAGAAAAATTTTCAAAATTGTATAATTTTGCCATGGGGATTTTTCTACGTCAATTTGATTGAAAATTTTTCTTAACTTTTTGGTGGTACCCTTCGCTAAAGATAGAAAATTTTCTAGGTTATCAAGTGTGCTGGATACGAAAAAGCACTTTTCTTTAACTCTAAATGAACTTTAATTTTTTTTTATCNTTTTTGTCGGTGATATGTATTTGTAATCTACTGAAAAATGGTGCACATTTCTGTACAAAAATTAACATTAATCAGTTCATTTTATTATTTAAGTCTGTCGAGTAAAGGAGTATTTTATCATATAACTAAGAAAAAGTAATTTAAATTAGATTCTCCAATTTTAACCGATGAAACATGCTGTATCTAAATGCTTGAGATATTTGCTGTTGATCATTATAATTTTCTAAAAATAAACAGATTGCGACAATACAATAACCTTGAATGATTTTTTCGGTAGTACTGTTATAAAGAAAGAAAGAATAGGAGAAAATACATGTACATGTAGAAAATCACTATGATATACATGTCTTTTTATTTTTGCCTTTCTATACAAGTGTTAGGATCTTGAATAGGTTAACGTTACTACATAATGAGAGTTAGATAAATACACTACTATATGGACGTTTTGGTTCCATTTCTGTCACACACGAAGAAAAAAATGGGAAATAAGTAACGAGGTGTAAGCAGACGTAAAATTCGCTAGTATGAGAGTAGGCGAAAAAATAATATTACTACAGAAAGTAGTTCGATAACGACTAATAGAAAAAGAAATTGAAATGCAATAACAAAAGTTAATATTATTATTGTATTGATTTATGTGAATATGCACTGACAATAATATCACAGAAATTTTTTAGATTTTTCAATGACTATTTTTAAAAACGACTATATGTTAGAGATAACGATGAATGTGTCTATAATTGATCAATATAATATGATAAAGTGCGAAAAACTTTCGTCTTAGTCAGAAGATGTTCGTGATTTAGACTATACATGAAATACGATGTTCATTGTTTTTCTGATAAATACGCATAATTCTATTTAGATTGATATTGCCTTTGTTCATAGTTGTTGGGTGTGTGCTAACCCATTCAACGTAGTCGATCATATTGAGTAATACATGTATATATAGATATATGCGTATCCACAACGATCCTCTTTTCTTCATCATTCAGACATCATCAACGTATGTTCAATCATAAAGGAAAGAATGTTTCCTATAGTAGAGAGGATATTATTACTTCATAGAGAAACACTTATCCAAAAATAAAACAGATAGGAGAATCAATCAAAGTCGAGGGTCTGAAAGAAGCGACTACTAATGGACTTGATTGATAGAAACGTGATGTAATGTCAGAATTCTGAAATTGAACAATTATCATATATGTTTCAATGTATATAGATAGATCAATTGACTTGTATAATTTAATTTCTATACTTGGATATTTTCTGACTATATCATTTCAAAATTTGACAGAAATAGAAGAAGGTACAAAGTTTATCCCGAGATCTTTTTAGCTCTAAAGTATCGTACTGAATGTTGGACATTGCGAAACATATAGCTTATTACACAAGCCAAAAGATCTCGGAACAAATTTTGCACAATGGCACAATCTTCATATCTGACGCTACTGCTCTAAACCTGCTTGCATCTATAGATATTATTAATATCGAACACACTGGTGAGATCGACAAAATGTTTAAACAACCGGTGATATATACATAGATTATAAATAGTAAAACAAGAAGCATTTGGTTCTCAAAGTTTGAACTCTAACGTACACTATTGATGAATAAACAAAAATTAAAATTCTTACGTAAAGTATCAGTCATAATATATGTGCTTCCGTTTTTTATTTGAAAAATTGACTTTTTTTGAATGGAAAAAAATTCAGTGATCAGTACTAAAGGATAAATTAATATGAAAAATAAAAATTTGAACAAACACTACGATGATAATTTGTGTATGTTTTTTATTGACACCGATTTGGTTAATCTTCTTCTTCCACTTTATGTTCTTTGGCTGATTTTAAGTGTTCACGAAAATTCACCTTTTCTTCTTCCTTTTCCTCAGTATTTAAGGCAAATTTTGGTTTATTCGACACTTTTAATACCGAACGAAAATCCATTTCTTCTTCTTTGGGTTTTTGAAGTTTGTGCATTCTATAATAATTCATAGTTTTAAAATCTTTTTCACACTGCAATAAAATTTGGCCTACTTTTGTTCAGTTTTCGAAACCTTTTTCAATGTGGGTTTTATAAATTTTCCTTTGATATCGTTTACTTTAATTGTCAGTTCATTGATCTTAAGACAACGAAAAGAGATTCTAATGAAGTAAAGAAAACATGTGCATGGAGTTTACGTACATCATAGTCTTGTTTTCGAATTTTCATTTCAACATCATAACTTGCTTCTTCCTGCTCAGTCAGTTGTTTATGTAGATCTTTAAGTATTGATACAAGATGAGCTAAATAGAAACACTATTTGATTAATGATTCTTCTCCATACACATGGGTTAGTACTAGCAATTTGTAGAAAAATAATGTAATCAATGTAATACAAAGTTTACTTAGAACGAAGATGTCAGCATGATATGCCCTATAGAGTGTCGCTTTTGTCACAATATGAAATCGACTGCGGTTACATAATTAGAATCAACCACATATGTTGGTTTGCTATTGTTACTAATAATATCTGCTACGGAAATGATGCAAGCGTCGTTACCCTCTGTTAAACTGTTAAAATCTGTCGGTAATGGTTTGACTCGCTCTGCAATATAATTTTTTCTCGCTTCCAAACGTTGTTGGGCAGCATTTTTCAAATTATCTGTAGCCATTTTCATAATAAGTAACTAAAATAACGATAAAGTATGATTTATTGATTTATTGTAACAGAAAAATTTCAATACTTACTCTCAGTTTTCGTTTTTTTTCTGGTGTTAAACCAAACCGCTTTTTTTTCTCAGCCACATCACGAGCTTCTTGTCGTTTACGTTCGCGGTCGGCTTTCTTTCGCGCTTTCTGTTCATCTTCAGTTAATCCCTAAATAATGATGGTTAGTACGAATATCCAATACTTACTATCCTAAAAGATATTTCACTTTTTTCCAAACTTTTTGTAGTGTTTCCCACTTAAAAGTATTTTTCAAAATTTCTTGATGATAAACATCCGGCGCTTTTTTATTAGTCTTTCTGGATATTATCCATTGTAGGGCATACAACTGGCTTAAATTTATTACCGGGACTGTTTTTCACAGTCTAGCATCATTGTGAAACAAAGAAAGATATTTTATGACACTTTCGTTGGTGAAAAGTTTGAAAAAATTATCAAGGTACTCTTTTCCCTTCAGACATGTTCATAATGACGACGATGATGAAACAATCAAATGAACGTTACCTCATGAGCCATGATTTAATTATAATTTAATTATAAATCAAACGTAGGAATATGTGTATGATGAGAAAAACGATTATTTTTGTTTAGTCGAAGAATGAGCTCTTCTCTTTCTATTATGCGATGTTGTAATCTACATAGTATGATCACTTTTCTAATAACAACTGCATCAATATTAGAAAACAAGATGAGAAAATATCATCACAAATGTCTTTTTCTGGATAAAGAAATACCATCGACATATATAAATATTCTTTGTGCATATGAAATCATTAAAAGTTTTACTATACGTACCCAAACATATATAGTCACAAGAGTTTAGAGAGGAAAATGTGATCACACATCTTTTGTTCTATTTCTATACTATATAATCCATACAACTATATATCTATCTTAATTCCAGACAGTGTAATAGAAGCATGCAGAAAAATTTCTGACGTACCAATTACAAGCATGCATGCAAATAAAATTGAAATCACTTTCATCATCTTTTGGTTACGTATCTCTCCGCATTTCTTTTGAACAAAAAAGATTTTTGTAATATATTAACTTTAAATCGCAATCATGAAAATGTACTGGATTTATTATCGTTATGACTTCTTTTTATGGAATTAATCATCATTCGACTTAGAGGTTTTAAAAAACAGAAACCAGTCATCTAGAATTATTAGAAATGCTTCGCACTTCACTTCAGAATCTGTTTAAACTTCTCAAAACTTTTTCTGGAAAACTTCAGAGAGAAATCTCTTACAATGTTTCATTACTTTCCTAAACAATGGCAGCCATCTACTATTACAAGCTTTTCTCCGTAGCTTCCAACTTCCTAATAAGGACTTATATACAGAAAGATAGAAAATTTTTTGTGCTTCAAAATGAGTTATAAACAAACTTATCAAAAATACGCCCATGGAGAAAACTATTCTAGAAATGTTGAATTTAAATATTAATTTTCGTATTTGTAAAGATGGGTGTCAGTGTCAGAAATCCTTTACCCTTTACAACGCACTTCTCTCTGTCAGAAACATATCAAGGTGGCACTAATATCGTTTTTTAGAAGAAAGTTTGTAGAAATATTTTTTAGGAGATTTTTCATGGTTACTCAAAGGATGTCTGGAAAACACTTTTTGCGAATATTTTCAAAGCTACTTGGACTAGATGCGATTTCTTAATATGATCAAGAATATCTCCTTTAACGTTTCTGAGAAATCGTAAGTCGTATGTAGATTTTGAAGTTTTTTCGTGTTAAGAAGTTGGAAGTTATGAGTTTGAGATAGAGGATAGCTGCCATTGTTTAGAACAGTAACGAAAAATTGTAAGAAAATATTGTATATTTATATCAAACAAATATTGTTTTACTTCCTGAGATATTGGAAAAGTACTGAAAATTCAGTCTAAAAACTTGGATTTTAAAAATTGTTTCTCTCTGAAAATTTTTAATATCTCTTTCGAACTTCTAACTTTCAAAATATTTTTATTTTTATTTTTAAATTTATTTTTATTAAAAATATTTCCAACCTGAGATAGGGTCTGAAATATTTATGGTGAACATTTCAGTTCCTTCGGAGCATTTTTTCAAGGAGTCGCAATGTGACCGGAGGAAAACTAGAATTTGTCACAAAACCTATAGAATCCCGAAACTTTGAGCACATAACATCTATTCACTATTGTCAAAGAAACATCTGATTTCATCTGTATCAGTTTTAGTCAACCGACAATCAAAAAGATAAAATCACAAAAAGTACATACAAATCAATATCTTGACTTAATGAATGAATTTAATATTTGGTATTTGCCGCTTATTGAATGGAGTATGTCATATGTTTCTTCTGCTGATCATCTGTGTTATGTCCTGCGATTTCCCGAGTTACATATAGCTATCGAGACTCAAAATTTGATCTAAACATAGTTTAGCTGATTCAACAGAGCGCGCGGGCCCATTACATGTTGAGAACAGTCGAAAAGAAAAGTTAATTATCACG